GGAATATTTGGCTAGACAACCCATGAACTTTTATAGTGATTGTATGTATGTATGTATGTATGTATGTATGTATGTATGTATGTTCTGGGTGGAGTCACTTAAATCTGAAAAAAATGAAGCTTCTGATTATTAATCTTTGAAAATTCATTATTGAAGCATTTCCCTACTTCTGTCAATACTGTACCTGAAACAGTAAAATGAATGGCTGCATACAGTTATCTGCCCTCTGATCTCAATATCAAAAAAAATTAGGAGTACTTAACTGTGTTCAATATTGCAGCTGAGATTTTCAGATGTCCAGATGTAGATTTAAAACAGTGGCAGCAATAGAACAATACAGTGGTACCTCGGGTCACGAACGCTTCTGTTCACTACCAATTCGGGTCACGAACAGCACCGTTCGCAAAATTTTGCTTCCGTTCACAAACTCCGCATCAGGTGACAAACAGGATCCGCGGCCATTTTCCCTGCCGTGACATGTGGTCGTGGCTTCCTGTAGGGAGGGGGACTCCCCCTCAAAACAATAACCGCCTCCCCACCCGCCTTCTTGTCCTCCACACCTCAAGCAAGGTTAGCGTTCTCTATCTTCATAGTGTACTGTACTGTACTTTGTGTCATATTTTTGTGGTTTAAAAAAAAAATACGTCCTTTTATTTGTTTACTTAGTTTCAGAAGTATTCAGACGAAGGAATACATATGGTTCAGAACGGATTAACCATATTTACATTGAACCTTACGGGAAAATTTGATTCGGGTTGCGACCAATTCGGGTCGCGACCAGAGTCACAGAACGAATTAAGTTCGTGACCCGAGGTACCACTGTACTTTAAAAAGTCTGGTTTGCTGACAGCATTTCAATTTCTCTTTTTCATTTGATCTCATTAAAAATGCTAAGAGGCATCCCCCTCCAAAAAAAATCCTTCGTCTGAATACTTCTGAAACTAAGTAAACAAATAAAAGGACCATGTCAACAAAACAGAAAAAAAATAACTTTTAAAACCAACTAAAATTGTCTTTAAAGTCATCCTTAAAAATTTAGGTATTAGTGGAAGGCTTGAGATATTCAGAAAAAAACTGTCACCTTTTTAATGACAGTTGGAGTTTATATCTTGTATATATGCAGCTTACTCTAGACATTCTAATTGAGACCAGGCACACACATTCACTGAGAGTTTGAAAATATTCTAATATTAACCAAAACCGAAATCCCAGTTACACAATTTTTCCCCTCTATGCAAGCAAGAGTTGTGTGTGTTATATAGAAATAATACATTAATTTGAGAACAATTGAGAACACAGTTTTGAGAACAAAAACAACCAGAACACAGCTGTAACTTAATGGCTATGAAGCTTAGCTTCTCTGCATTATGCAGTCACATCCATTACTGCTTTAATCTGTAGATGCCAGATAGGCCAGTCTAGTAATCTAATTCCATGACAGTTCTGGAATTTCTGGAAGTTCTATGATATAATGCATTGCTGAACAATTTTCCCCTTTTTCTTTCATTTTAAATGGACAATAACAATTATGTTATTGTTATTTAAAAGATCTGTTTTAATTTATTTAGGTTTTGCAATGAGGCTGCAATAGGTTCCATGCCAACTGCAGTATCTCAGAGTTCATGGGACCCCATAAAATTAAAAAAAAAAAATTATCAAGAAACTCAAGAATGCAACAAATCTGACAAGATATTTTGTGTTTTTACCTGAAATACTAAGTTTGGGAGACAAGAAAGCATGCTGAAATCTCACAAGTTTTCAGACATTTTAAACAATGTTTAGTTATTAACTTTGGGTGTCTTATCAACGTGCAGAATGACCTGATAGTGTCTTGTACCTGAATTTTTAAAAAATCTTTGTAATAGACAAATGTCATTGAAAATTAAACTTCCCATTTTTTTGTGGAAAAGCTAAAGTCAAATTAAATGTCATTGCTATTTAAATTTCTAAATAAAATTCCAGCAATAGGAGACCAGCTCTATTCCTGATGAACTTTTCTTCCAGGGAAAAATATAGTTCCAGTACCAATTTTTTACTGATGGGCTGTTGCCTTCATTTTACTCCAAATCCCTTGATAATTCTATACAACTGACATGGGAAAGTTGATCAGATCTGTCATAAGACACCAGCATTAATTGCAAGTCCATCTGAAAGTCATATTTTGGAGGACCACAGCACAGCATGAAAGTAGAGGGATGTGTTTGATACAAAACTCATATTCTTTTCTTATTTTCAGTTTAAGGCACTTTTTTATGGCCTGATCCTTGGTTGAGGACAAAGTGAGATTCTGGCAATGCAAATCTAAGCTAATGATACTAAAATATTCCAAAAAAGTTTGCTTCAACAGTTTCATATTTCTTTTCCTAGGATTCAATATCTATCTATTACAAATAACCAGAACATTTACAGATAGCAACTGTTGAATTCTCCCACTGTTAGTTTGCTATAGCCTTTGTTGCATGTCTAGTGTTTGCATCAGTTCTATCTAAATTTCTTCATATAGTTTCAGGCTCCTGAATTTGTCTTTATGTGGAATTTTGAAATATTGGAGCTTTGTACAACCTAACAAAATGCCATGCCCAACCTTAGTGAGAGAATTCTTGGGAGGAAGGAAGGAAGGAAGGAAGGAAGGAAGGAGGGAAGGAGGGAAGGAGGGAAGGAGGGAGCATTAGAATCTACTTGTATCACTTAACTTGAATCTTATTGTTATCTTTATGTGTGTATGTGTGTGTGTTCATAGAAAACTAAATTGGTCTTTCCTGGATGCTTAATACGCAAGAGAAATCTATAACCAGGATGGATTATTCAGAACCCTGTTTCTACTCCCTCAATGCCTGAGGATACACATGCTTGTAAACATTATAGCTTGTGAGGTTTTGCTGACATGATCTTCACTGACCTGTAAACACAAATGTGAAACATTGATTTCTTTTCCTGTGTAGCACTTCATTTTATTTTCAATGGTGCTGTGGTAAATTTTGAAGTATAAGAGCTCATAGTGGCAGATTCATTGCACATTTCACAAGTTGCCACATCTCCAAATATACAGTATTGATCCAAAATAGTTGTATATCTGTACATACATATGGGGAAGATGTAGGCAGCGGAAGAGATCTGATGTTGTACCTCTGATCAGTCATGAAATTCACAGGTGACTGTGAATGAGTTACTGTCGGATTGTGGTCTGCCTAACTAAGGGATCATATGCCATTTCAAATGAAACTTTTCCTCCAACCCCAGAATCTTATATTATTTCCAGCTATAACACTGGCAAAAGCTATAATCTTTTTTTTTTTTTTTTAGTGAAAAAGCTGTGCATCTTTGTATTCCAGCTTCACTATAATACTGGTTATTTCCTATATACTAAAGCTCTGTCCAACTTCCCAACATCATACATATCTATTGGTTGTTTTCTGTCTAGAAAAGACATTTTTTAAAATCTGGTAGTGAACAAAACCAGGAAATATTTTTGAGCTCTTATATTTCACTTCTAGAGTCATTCTCACAGAGTGTTCTTTCTGGCTGATGACAGAACAAATTATCACATCATTTGGAAAAGGATTTGATACTTCAGTTTTGCCAAACTAATTAAGGTGTAATCATTATGTGAAAGTAATTGTTCTCCTTAGGAAGAGAAATATTTTATTCAAAGTATTACCCTGCCTTAATTGTCTTCTTCCAGGTTTGTAAAGTTGTGAATACTACCACCCTCACTTGCCTCGCTCCTTCACTTACACCACAGTACCGACCAGGTTTGGATGCTGTTGAACGACCTGATGAAATTGGATTCATCTTTAACAATGTTCAATCCTTGTTGATTTATAATGACACCAAATTTATTTATTATCCAAACCCTACCTTTGAACTTCTGAGTGCCACTGGCATCTTGGACCAAAAGCCAGGATCACCCATTATCCTGAAGGTAACATGAGGGCACAATCCAGGACACCCATCTGCATGCACAAATCCAGATTTATTCTGGAAAAAGCATTGTCCTACATGTGAAATCTTGATCCCATTTCATATATCAGCCTGTTAATTTTCTGTATTGCTTTACATGTCTATAAGAAGTTATAACTGAATGTTTCAAATCATAAACACTGAATGCAAATATTAGAGATCTGTAAATTCTGTTCTGGACACCTTGGAAAATATTTGTGGGAATTTGAGTTTCACACAGAAATATTTGGTGGAAAAAAGGTTGAATGTCTTTAGGAATGCTTGAAAAATAAATTCAAAATGCCCCTCCTGGCTATTATTCCTGCATTTCTTTCATTAGGCATTTGCAGCAAGTCACAATAACGGAAAAACAACAGCTTGATATCATGATGCAAACCTCTTATATATTTGCAGCCCAATATTTAACACACATATATAACTCAAGGTATTTGATGTATGTGTGGCAAGCTGCACCTTTCCCCCAGTTGCCTACATTCCCATTCCCAACAATACAAAGTACATTACAAATCTTTTTGTTTGACGTGTACTTCTATCATATAGGAGTTCACGACTGTAGGAATCTATGAGTTTATTCATCTCCACTATATATATCCAGGTTTTCCTTTGCATAATGTGTAAAATAGTCCATGACTAAACTCTGACCTATATAGCAAAGCAGAAGTTTAGTAAACTGGATCTAGCATCTACTTGTTAAGAACACTTAAAACATTTTAAATACTCTTACTGATATGCCACAAGTCTGCCAAACAATTTATTCCTTTCTTGTGAAGATAAATGTAATCACTTTGCACTTTTATTTGCTGGCATTTTACACTATCATATTTTGAAAACCAAACCTAAATCCACATCAGGTTTAAAGTCCAATATTATATTAACAATCTCTCACTCCGAGTATTCATCTTCTCTACTTTCACATTTTTAGTGCTGATGTGAAAAGTCTTATTTTTATACCTGATGTGTGACAACCTTGTGTATCACTGAAGCCTCAGTGAAGCCTAGAACCTTTTCTTTCATGTCGAACAATTGTTTCTCCTTTCCTAATGGAACATAATGCCAGTAGAATGGTAGAAGCTATGCCATGGGCTGAAGGGATAAACGTGTTCAGGTGGTTCCCTATTCACTTCTGAATTTATAGTTATGATCTGGATTGCTAGCATTTACTGTGAAATACAGCCTGGTTTTGATATTGTATACTTGACTGGGACAGCAGACATATTTTATCATGCTATGCCAGTCATGTGCCAGAGCAGCATTCATTTTAATCACAGGCAAGGAAAGACTAATTTTCTCCATCTTATTTTTCACTTTCTCAAGATTACTTCTAGCACTAGCTGCTGTTCCCATGAACTGCCCCTGATTTCTCAATTGCCTCTTAGCTGTCAGTTATGGTTACCTTGATTAAACAGCATACTGGTTTTGATATATGAATGGCAAAGAAATGGATAATGGTAAAGAGATAGCAGACATATTGCTAGTGGACTTCTCTGTATCCTAGTGTTAAGATGGTAGTTCCTGCCCCTTGGCTGTAAAAAATTTAATACTGAATCTCAGAAATTTGATACACACACAGACACACATCCAACAAGTATAAGCTCAAATGCATTAAAGACATAAATGGAAGTTGCGTCACACTCAGTTATATAATTGCTTATTCAATATGCATCACAATTACAGCTTTTGAAAAACAAGTATGCATCAATGTTTATGATGTTGTGTCACACAGATATTTAACATATGTGCCATAATGTTGGATATATGTTGAATCAGGGAAAAGCTGAGACATTAGCTAAAGCTTCATAAAACTTTGTCTTTTTTCTTTTCAATAGGGTAAAAATCTGTGCCCACCTGCTTCTGGTGGAGCAAAACTGAATTATACTGTTCTGATTGGAGAAACTCCCTGCACTGTCACCGTCTCTGAAACACAGTTACTTTGTGAGCCTCCAAATCTCACCGGGCAACACAAAGTTATGGTGAGCTTCAAGAATCATGATTTTCTCTCCGCCTTTTATCTTTTCTACCATTGAAGGTCAGAGTTCAATCTCTTTCTGCACTAGCTCTCATTCTGTCTTCAGGATGGAAACCAGGAGTGGAAAAAAAGATACAGGAGTGATTAAAAAGAAGAAGAAGAGAATCTTGAATATCAACAATTTTCTCAAAATTTAATGTCTTTATTTGCAGTCCTGAGTGTTTTTAATTGAGGGCCAGTGTAAAAATGGCCTAAATAAATGCATGAATCTGATCATATGATTGGGCCAAAGGGCCAATTCACTACAATTAATTTACACATGCAAATATACAATATCATAAAGAAATACCCACAGGAATAGAGAAAAGATGTTGAAGCTGTAAAGTATTTTAGCCATCATGTGCCTGTAATTTTGTGCATACATACGCATATATTATCCAAGCACACACTGACACAGCATGAATTTTGCATGAGGATATATAACAGTAATATCTAACTCTGAACTGCTCATTAGAAAATACAAAACCCTGCAGCTATCAAAAGACAAAAAGTGCCGTCACATCTTTGAGTCTAACTACTTTTATTGCAGCAAGGGGTTTTGTAGGCAGCAGAGCATCTCAGTGGGTGTTTAGGTCTCCAGCATATCTTATCTCAGTTCATACTAATGGAAGCTGCAGTTAAAGACAAGGTCAGCTTACTGCCAGTTCTGTAAGAGTATGTCTACACTGGATATTTTGCAGAACAAATGAGATATTTATTTGTGAGATTTATATCCTATCTTTTCTCCAATAACTTAGGGTGACAAACCCAGCAATTCCCCCATATTTTCTCTGTAACAGCAAATGTGAAGTAGGTTGGGCTGAAAGAGTGACCTGCTAAAAATCACCCAGTGAACCTTTTTTGGCTAACAGCAGACTAGAAGCTGAGTCTCTCCACTCTTACTTCAACACCTTAGCCACCACGTCACACTGACAAGGAAAAAAAAAGTTAGAAGTAGAAGAATTTTAGTAGTATCGACACAGACCTTTTGGGGGTGAGGGGGAGATCTCTTGACCCTTAAGCTATCCCGCACCAAAGATACCAAGAAATTCAAATGGTTTCACATTCTTACTGGCCCATTTTAATGAATGGCTCATATGCAGTTCTCTTCATATTTAGGAATGGTAGATATTTATGACAAATAAGAAAGTATGGTTTTAATGGGATTAAGAAGTAAAGTCTTTCCAAGCAGAGCTAAACCTCTGGTGATCTGTATTGGACATATCTGTATTGCTTCCTTGGCAATATGGAAGTGGATTGTTACAGCCGTCTACTGGAAAGTTTTTAAACCTCTAATTTGGGTTTGTGAATGAATAGACTTCAGTTCAATAGCTGGTCTTATTTATTTCAGTAAAAATGTCAGAACAGATGATGGCACAGCTGGCACTGAGGTTTGTTATAAGGATAGATCAGGGGTATACAGTTACTTGGTACTGAAGGTTGTGATATACCACACGTCCTGTACTTGCTTCAACACATATTCATTCATACCATGTACATTTAAATACCATGTACATTCAGTACAGTGTTACTGTGAGGGGCATACTCATCTTCTCCACAATGATTTTGTTGCAGATTGCTAGTTTCCTCTTTGCTATCAATATAGCCAAGAGCCATGGGTTAGATGGTTCCTTTAGAGGCACTTCTGGCATTGCACACTTGCAGGTGAATGGTTTTTTTTTTTTTAAGTTAGTGAGCTGTCTGCTTGTAAAGCTGTCAGAACTTTACAAGAACTGTCATTTTTTTAGAATCCACTTGAAGTCATTTCATATGCATCAAAAAGATGTACAGTGTAGTTGATTACACAAGATTTTTTTTTTTTTTCCTGCCTTTGTCCCTGGTAATCTTGACTTTAGCAAAATACTAGTGTGAACATGCCTCGGGTTACTTTATAAAGCACATCATTTTTTTTCATAAATAAGAGTGGGAGTACAGGGAAATTAATGCAGCAGCATTCTCTATATAAGACACCATCATCTGTGCACAATATAAATGGAGATTAGACAGTCAGTCTCTGAAGAAGTTTAGCAGAGCTTGCATGATGCTTTGACTGCTGATAATTTTCTCCAAATTTACCTTCTGAACTGAATTGAATTGAAATATTACAAAAAAGTACTTTTATTATATCAAACTTCTCTTTTCATCAGATGAATCTAATGAAGCCAAAAGCAGTAATCAAGCCTACCTAGTGATATTTTAAAGTTTATACAATATTGCAGGGAATATAACAAATGTTACTGACTTACATACTCTCTACTGCAATAACACTATAGTTATTATCCTCTCCATTAGTATCAAAGTTTCTTAGAGACCATAGAATTATGTTCTGCAAAATATAACTCTATCAATTACTGCTCCATGAATATCTGCAGGGGTGTAAGGGGGACAAGTGACATTACATATATGACATCATTGCACAAAAGGCAAAAATTATGAAATCTGTGTCAGTCTTTACATCATTTGTACAATGATGTCATGATATATATGGTATTATAAGGGCTTGTACAAATCACCTATGAAGTGCTCTTCAGTTTATTCTTGGCAGCCCTACAATATCTCCCCCAATCTTGCCCTTCCATTGCTTCTTTCTTTTTTCCTTCCCTTCTCTACCTACCCTTTACATTCCTTTGTCAATGAAATTATCATTCTCTAATATCCATGGTTTATAAAAGAAAGCTGAAAGCTTAAGTTATGAAAGTCAAATGAAGAGATCATATAATCAAAGGAATGTGGGAGAATGTGCCTGGATACCAGATATATCATACCTCGAAGGCTTTTTGTGTTTCAAGAAGGATGTGACCTTTCTTTCTATGGGGATGCTATTTGCAAGGTCTTATCTGCAACTTAGCAAATGAATAGCTTTTTATTACTTTTAAAAGTGTATTTAGCATTTTGGGAATTATTTCCAGAACAGGAGTAATATGTCAGGCTCCAGTGCCTAAAACACACATTTCTTTTTTTAAAAAAATCAGCTACTGGACAGAAATTAACAGTTTTCATCCATGCATTAACTCCCAAGCAGATAAACAGAAAGACTTATATAGGACAATCATTCTTTTTCATTGCCAATCCTATTCCCAGCACTTCTTTCATCCTTACTAGCCCATTGTTAAGTTCTTTGTACAAATGTCACCTTTTCAAGTGAATGTTTTTATTCCAATTTAATATCTATACACACTGTGATGTAATCTTCTGATTGACTGCCATGTCTTTGATGGTTAGGTGCATGTAGGTGGCATCATCTTCTCACCTGGCTCAGTGAATGTGATCTCAGACAGCCTGCTGACTTTGCCAGCTATTGTCAGTATTGCAGCAGGAGGCAGTCTTCTTCTCATCATAGTCATCATTGTCCTCATTGCCTACAAGCGCAAGTCTCGTGAAAATGACCTCACTCTCAAGAGACTTCAGATGCAGATGGACAACCTAGAGTCTCGAGTAGCCCTTGAATGCAAAGAAGGTCAGTATTACTCCCAATTAATTTCAGATCAGATGTCCAATAAAATATGCAATCCATTCAGGCTTGGGACTACTCAGTTGAATTGTTTATGAGCTTCATTTGCATATGAAAGAGAGTGAGTCACGGAAATCAGTTTCAGGTGAGAGGAGCCATCAGAGAGATGAAGGCAGTACCTAAATTCTTAACCCAAATCCCTGCTGCCAATTTACTGTAAAAAGTCCAAAATATTATAATATGATAATAAAATGCAATGCATGATAAATGGCTGGTATGTTCATTTTGTTATCTCAAACTGATTATATCATCTGAGCTGATCAGTTCCTGTCCATTGTTGTAAAGTTAAGTTCTAAAGACCTACTGCTCTTCACCCTACCTTGGTTAGTCATAAAATAGGTACTGAAGAATGTTACTTCATGAATATATGCATACATAAACATGCATAATTTTGCCTATGCATGCACAACCACATGCGCATACACATACACGTGTGTGTAATGAAGAGCTGTTTAGCATCTCAGTCCTTCATTTAGTTCCTATTATCAGCTAAGTATAACATTGACAAATGGCCACGTCCATTAATTCCTTATTATCTTTTATCATCCCAGTAAAAGTTATTGCATAGTACATTTCTGTCTCAGTGTCATTGGCTCAAAGAATAAATTCATTTCAATCATTTTACTTAACCTATGTAAAACTTCATAAAGGCATGGGCACCACTTACATACTCGAGGTACCCCTCTTACTCAAAGGGATACAAATATTGCCAAGCTCCAGCATCACAAATTGCACAGAGGTGTCCCTACATTATTCCCATGTAGTGACAGTAAAAATTCCATGTGCTCACAGGAGCTTATCTTCAATTAGATTATTCTGACATAGACTTTCCAACTGATGAATGCAATTACAGAGGCTATGACCTAAGAAAAAACAAAGACCCGTGGTTTCATAATTATGTTATTTCATTACCTATTATTGCATCTAAAGAGACTCAGAGAAACACAGTAAGTACATGCCTCTTTCAAACTTGTAACTATATGCAGGTTTCACTTGAAAGGGTCTGACTGGCTACAGCAATCAAATAAATTACCTTGGAAGGAATACTGATATGATTATAGTAGCAACATGCGTACTCTTACTTTGGCTTAACTCTCCCTTCCCCATTTGAGTATAGTGGGAATTATTTCTAAGTAAAGATTCATTGGATGGAACATTTCATACCAAAAAACAAACAAACCCCATTCTCATTCCCATAAACATACATACCAAACTCTATCTGGTTTGCCTAACATAACTTTTCTCCATTCACTGAGTACATCTCCAATACTGAGCAGTCCAAGTCTAGTTTCCATGGTAACTGCCTTCTGCTTAACCTGTTTCCTTTGATCCAGTATGAATTTAACAGGGCTTGAGCCCCACATACAGCTGTCAAATAAACATTTGGTCAATCTCTCTCAAACACACATATAGTTGTAAAATGCCCTCTTTTGCAGCCAGAGAGGCTTGGAATTCTTTCCCATGAGTGTCTGTATGTGTTGGAAGGCAGGAACAAGTGTAGTGAATGCAGAGGCATCCTTTGCTTGACTAATGTGTGGAGAACAGGATTAGCACTTGATCCTATTTCAGCGAGATGTATAAAATTTGTCGGTGCCAGGTCATTAGGCCTGGCAATCTGTGGATCTTTTTCGGAAGGCATTTCATGGGGATGTTAAGGAAAGGCGGGACCCTTTGCAATGATCCAAGTGCTGCACAACTGAGCTGGAGCCAGGCTGTAAAATAATTTGTATGCCTAGGTGTAAAAATCAAGAAGTTTAGAACATTAAATGCTGTTACAGCCACCTGGCTGGCAGAAAAGAAAACAGAAAGCAGATCACCTGGTTGAAGTGCAGATAGCATAAAGTAAAGGCAGATAGAAGGTAAATTGGGCTGAGTGATTTGCCATAGATCAGCACAGACTGAAAAGTCTCAATTATTTAAGTATAGCATCAAACAAAAGTTCCCTTTTGCCTATTGCTTTTTTCTCTATGAATTTGCTGAAACAGCTCTTCTAGATATTGGAATGTGCCACCACCTCTTGATGAATTAGATAGTGTGACTCATGTACACATTTTACACAAGATTAAAGAATGCAAACAAACATCTTTGGGTAGATTCTCACATTCAGCACAGCAAGATTTCAACATTCCCTTTAGCATGTTAATTTTCATGGTGCTATGATGTCTCCAGCACAATATATTAGACTGGGTGAAATGTGATAACTGCCATGTGTGCACAGTATTTGTACAGATCTTCATCCTGAGAGGAAGAGGAAGAGATTGGACAAGTGCTACACGCGTGCTATCTTTACACACTTTGCCCTAGTGTTCCAGCTGGACTATATCAGTTTCCATGCTCTCCCACTATGTACGTCAGGAGCACCTTCTGTTAGGCATGTGAATCTTGTTGCAGTTTTGTATCTCAATTCAAAAGCATAATTTTCTTCCCTGACCCTGGATAAGCTATAAAGCAGGGGGATAGTTCCCTTCTGCTAGCTACATCAAAAGGACATGAGGAATAGAGGGGGTAGAGTAAGTGAGAGAGGAAAAAAGCCACACAAACTGATTTAAAAATAGGATCTTTATTTTTATCTAGTGCCTTCCAAGGCATTTTCAGTGCCTACATACAAGGTGTGAACAGAATACAAATTAGCAAGCGTGTTTTGTTTCAGCATCTGTTCTTTGCATTGTGCTCTTTCCCTCTCCTACTGAGGAAGTAGCTCCCTGCTTCAGGGCAAGTCCTGGTGACACAGAGAGGTCTGGAGTAAACGAGCTTCCTGAGTTGGCTCATTTATAGTCCTTGATGGTTTGTACCTCAGCCTCCATTCCCAGAGCTTCTCTCTTGATTGCCTGTCTTTCTCACTCCCTTTCCCTAATAGCTTTTGCAGAGCTTCAGACAGACATCAATGAGTTAACCAGTGACCTGGACCGCTCAGGGATCCCGTATCTTGATTATCGCACATATGCCATGAGAGTCCTCTTCCCTGGCATTGAAGATCACCCTGTCCTGCGTGAACTAGAGGTAATGGAGTAGCTGTACATTCTCTCTTCTCAGTCTCATCAGGTAACTGGTGATGTTGTTCCCCAGGTCCCTTCTGAGAAGCTCGATTAAAACCCACACAGCTGTGAAAGCACCTTTCTGCCTCCCACGCTGAATCCTATTAGAAGTGCTGGGATAAGCACAATGAACACTGACATTCATTATAACATAAGCCTTGCATTTTATATATTTTACACACAGTTTGTTTCCTTTTGATTGCTTTTGTGTAGCTGCTGCCCTAACATTTTTTTTTTCCTTCTCTATTGCTAAAACTCCATGACTAGTCCTCCATGACCAACAGCAAAAAAGCTGCATTTATTATTGAGGACTGCTTGAATTCTCTTTGAATTCTCCCTTTGTCAAAAAAAGCCAAAGGGGACCTTGGGAACCCATTCTCTGGTTCGCCAAGGGGAATAAGCCTCCCATTTTGCAAAGGAGCTTTTCTACATCTTGTCCTCCACTTGGCAAAGCTTTTGTGCAAGAGAAAGACCTTGGTCACATCACTTCAGCTTTGTCTATATTGTATGCTGAGTTTACTAAGTCTATCACCAGACATCCCAGTTTTGAGTTTTTTCTCATGTTGTTAAAGCAACTGCAGGAGCAGATGGGACCCATTATTCTGTAGGAAAATGCTGCTGCTGACATTTGACCATGGAAAAACAATGAAGGGGAAACTCTATCAGAAACATTTTTGCACATTCATTGCAAACACTGCATGTGTGAGAGTAATAACAGGGGAATACCCATGCTTCAATAAGCCACGAGGTGCCCTGTGAAAATAGTTTTTCGTTTTTGCTGCTGATAGCTCCTAAAGAGACATTTCCCATTTCACTGCTTTCTTGGTCTGAAAAGCTAGAGCGCCTTCCTTTCTTCAGCTAGAAGCTGGAGCTCCTTACTTTCTTTCTTCAACTAAAGGAAGGTGCTCTACCTTCTTTGGGCTATATAGCTTGCAAAGAAGTGATGCCTCATGGTAGAAAGAATGCATAGTCTGCATTCTTATAAGAGAATTACAGTATCCTACCTATTGCTGGTTAATATATGGTTTATTATAGGAAGTCCTTCTTTAGGGCTGTAATTAAAATAAACTGGGCAGGTACTGTTTGTAACTCAAGTGGTAATATGTGATCCAAGGCTAGAGGATCAAAACTTAAGTGAAAAAAACACTGATATATACTTAGTTTAGTAAATGCATTTCACTTTTTTTCTTTCCTACTTTTGCAAAGATTGAGCTTTTTTATATATTTTAAAATGATTTAGGTTGCCATCGGATGAAGTTCACTGCTTCCCCTAATTTTCTTAATGTACATAGTAAGAGGAAATTCACTGAATTATTTGCATGGGTGTATCAGGGTTATACCTGGGAATACTTGCATTTACATCATCCATCACCTCTTGCTTTCTCTTGTATGTGTTAGAAAATATCAAATAAAACTGATTTTGCCATTCCCCCAAAAGCTATGATAATGATGAATGTGTCACCATTTCCACGGCTGCTTAGTTATGTAGTATGATAACTTGAAAATGTAAGTCAGTGAAAACTTGGAAAAGAATTACATATACTGCTTTATTATTTTGTTTTATAAAGTATTGCTTACATCTAGGATTATCAGAAAAGCCTGTGTGTGTGTGTGTTAGAGCCTCACAATGGAGCAAAAGTCTAAATCAGTACCTTGCCTATGTGAATGTCACTTTTGGGCAGCAGCTCACAACTCAAGTGTATTTTGTTTTAAACTTGGAATACAGACAATATAACATCGTAAGAAACATTACTTCTTATAATGAATCTCAAGAACACTCTTCCAATTTTTAATTAATTTAATTGAATAAAATTTGTAAGCAAGCATAAAAGAGAACATAAAAAGAATTTAAAAATATAATACAAGTGAATAAACAAGGGAATTTTAAATGTCAAGGAGGTTATAGTTTTCTAATATATCATTAATTAGTTGTAAATAGTTAAATATATTTCATATATTATGTCATATTAAAAGATTAAGAGTCAGTATTAAACTAAAAGTGAATACATATCAAGAATGATGATGAACACAATATAAATCACTGAATGGAATTATAGCTATAATAAATCCAGTTCATATTACTAAGAATCTAATCTGATTTAGGTATCTCATAAAATTGAGATATTGATTCTATGCGTGGATGAACTCAAATTTTGGATGTAGTCCCAATTCATGTATTATATATTACAATCTAAAAATGGTTTCCAGTTTGATTTGACATTTGTGCCAGATTTAATTTTAGGGTACAAAAGTAACCCTCTTGCAATTTTATAGGTTCAAGGGAATGGACAGCAGAATGTTGAAAAAGCCCTGAAGCTCTTTGCCCAGCTACTCAACAATAAGGTCTTTTTGTTGACATTTATCCGTACCCTGGAATTACAGAGAAGTTTCTCCATGCGTGACCGTGGCAATGTGGCTTCCCTCATCATGACAGGACTTCAGGGAAAGCTAGAATATGCCACTGATGTCCTGAAGCAGTTGCTGTCTGACCTGATTGAGAAGAACCTGGAGAACAAAAACCACCCCAAGCTGCTCCTGCGCAGGTAAGAGTGGAAAATTTGGAACCTTGCATATAGGAAGACTGTAGTTTCAGAGCAAAAGTGGTCTTTTACACAAGCGTGAGTTTTAGGGGTGAGGATATGACTGCTTCCTCAGATTCGTTTATCAAGCATAACTGTGAAAGGGCACCAAGTTCTGCAAGACCCTATGAGGTTACTATTCCAATTTGCATCTAGGAAATCTGGTGCCTTAGTTAAAATGCTTGATATTCCTGCCACTGTTCTTCTTTCCCACTGACTGCTCAGAAATTAGCATTTGATTTGTTGTTTTTGTTGACCAAGCAGAGATAGAGGATGGGACTTCAACTGTGCATTTAATTTCAGAGTGAGCAGAGGCAGAGCAAAGCAATAGTAGCAACTTATATTAGAGCTGACCAGCAGGAAACAGACAGGTGTTGGTTAAGCTAGAAAACTCACCTGTTCATCTCCTGTCAAGAGTTCATACTATGGGCCATTTTCCTGTTTGGCAGACATGTAACACTAGAACATAAATAAAAGAACTTATTTACATAAATAACTAACAAATTCTGTGTTAGTTTAACTTAATTAGCATTCCCATTCAAAAGATCTATGCTAATTTATCTGCTAATCAGTGAATCATAATACCATGCCAGTTCCTATGTGATGTCACATTTTATGATACTACACTAATATAATTAGTGTTGGGCCAGAAAAGTGTAGTAATTAATTATAAGTTCAGATATGGGCTATTCTTGGTATTCGGGAAGTATTTGGATTGTGCACAATCCAAATAATTCTTGTAATATTTAGTAATGTAAGCCTTTATAAGATATCTACACATACAGGGTCTGTAAGGGAAAGCTTTCAAACAAACAACTGAGCATCTGTTGAGTTCCGTGATTCAAGAACTATTCTTGCTATATATTGTACTCAGGGCCAGCTTTATGCTAAGGCCCAATAAACACTGACCTATGGTACCAAAGCTTAGGGGGCACCAATGCTGCCCTTCCTTCTGAATCATTCTAAAAATGCAAATCTTTATGTCATTAGGGAGCTGGTGCCCTCAGTCAATGTGGCCTAGGGGTGTCGTACACTCTTGAGCTGGCACTGATTCTATTGTATATAGCATCTGTGAGAGCCAATGTGATATAATGGTTAAGCTGCTGGACAGGAGGGGGGGGGGTCCTAGATTCTAGTCCTCCCTTAGGCCTAGAAGTTGCCTGGGTGACTTTGGGCCAGTCATTCTCTCTCGGACCTAGACTGGAAAGTTGAAAAACTTCTGTATACCAGTCTGCACTGGACCTGTATGGTTAATTATAGTCTATAACTTTCAATGAAGATGCCTTCATCCTGCAGTGGCTTGATTTGAGCTGATCATTATATAGTATTTGTGATTATATAGACAAACATCTCATATTTTTATACATACACACACACACACACACACACAGGCATCCTGTAGGAAGGATCATGTTTGGGCACTGTGCAAGTAATATGTGTAATTTTTAGTTATTGAAACAACTGAATACATCTTTAGATAGTGGTACTTTGTTAAACTTTTATGTGTAACTAAATATTGGAGATTGAATATTTGCCATTGAGTCCATGTTGAATCTTCACAATCGCATAGATTTTTTTCCATGACCGGGTTTTTCCCTAACCTGGTCCTTCAGCTCTTCCAACTGCACCCCCATTGCCACTGTAACAAGTCTATCCACCTTACTATCTTCTACTCTTTCTTTCCACCTTTCCTAACATTACAGCCTTCTCCAGAGAGCTAGATCTTCGCTTAATGATTCCAAAGTAGGATAATTTGAGCCTCGACATTTTTGCCCTGAGTGAGAACTCTGGATTGACTTGTTCAATGATACATTGGCTTGTTTTCTTGGTTGACCAGGGTATTCTCAGGAGTCTTCTCCAACATCAAACTTCAAAAGCATCAATATTCTTCCTGTCTTGCTTCTTCAAAGTCCAACTTTCACTTCAGTTGAGTGTCACAGGGAATACCCTGGCTTGCACAATTCTGATCTTTGTAGGTATAGACACATCAAGGCATTTGAATATCTTTTCCAAGGCTTTCATGGCTGCTCTATCAAGTGCTAGTCTGTGGTATATTTCTTGACTGCTGATTCCTTTAAAGTTGATGGTTGATCCTAAAAGGCAGAACCTATCCACCACTTCAATACCTTCATTGTCAATTCTGAGGCTCATTGTTCTATCTGATATCATTAGCTTGGTCTTCTTTATATTTAATTATAGTCTCATTTTTTCATTGTGCTCCCTGCCCTTTATTGCTAGGGCTTGCAGATCCTTTGCATTTTCAGCTATCAGGATAATGTCCTCAGCATAGCTCAGCTTATTGATGTTTCTTCCTCCAATTTTAAAACCACACTCATGTTCTTCCAATCCAGATTCCCTTAATATATATTCAGCATATAGGTTGAATAAAAAAGGGGAGAGTATACAGCTTTGTCTCATTTCTTGGCCAACCTGGATCCAGTCTGTTTCAGCATGTTATGTCCATACAGCAGCTTCCTGTATATACGTTTCTCATGAGGACAATGAGAATGTTCTGGGATTCCCATTTTTCTGAGCACTTTCCACAGCTTGACATGATCAACACAAATATTGGATATTAATCTGCCCTAATTATGGTACACCTGAAATTCCTGAGAATTTGAAGGAGGCAATCTATTCAGAGGGGAATATGTTTTTCAATCCACAATCATTTCTGATTGAGAACTTTAATTATCACATATCTATATAAATACAAACAAAAATGTGTTTTTTCAATCCCTGTGATCAGACAATAAAGGGTAAGGAATTCTCAATCTAGTAAAAAACACCATATTCCCATGGGACTTTCTGCTTTTGCAATTGCTGTTTCATACCACCTTTGGTGTCTTAGAAACTGAGCTGGAGATCCTTACAAGAGCTTTTCACCTGACCTGCACCAGAAAGTTCTTGGAGGTTCTCTGTTGTCAAGGAGCAGCTCCACAAGGGGTGACCCTAGGTGACAGTAATAAGTAAGAATATGTGGTGGAGGTTTTGACAGTTTGACAATTTAAATGCATTGTTCAGCTTCAGCAGCCTGACCCTGACCTGCAAGAACATTAGCCATATTATTCTACATTTTCCAGATGTCAGTTTTTTATTCCCAGGTCATTCCATCTCTACCTTACCTGATACGTTGGTAAGGGTCTACCTTCCACCACCACTACCACCCTCGCAAAAACTAGTTATTATGAATGGACAAGTAATGAAAGAAGCCAATTAGGTCGTGCTGATCTTTTTTTTTTTTTTAATACGACCTTACATGCATGGATTTCAGCATACCCAATCCTTGCAGGCCATTGAGAATATATTTTAAACCTTGTATTTTTGTCAAACAAAAGGGCTATATATTGTAAAGTCATTGTAGGTGGTATAATGTATATGTGGAAAGTTGCCCAGTTTCTCTTTTCCCCCTCAACCTTCTGTCTGAATACAATCTTATGGGAAATGTTAGAAACAGGCAACTAACATTGTTTTTTTATCAATATATAGCCTGATAGCTCCATACCTGTACCTATAGTGATCCCCATTTTAATTTGTAAGGCAGCAGTAGAAAAGAGAAAAAGTCCTATAAAATGTATGGGGTATTGTGTGTTGCTATAGCTCTTCTTTGCTATTCAAGAGGAAAGTATTGGAGGCAATCATTTTCTTTATCAAATTGAAGATCTTGATGTAACCACCCATGAAATTATACAATAAAATTAACATCTTGTTACCAGGGACAGGAATGGGAAATGAACTGGCTGTTCAAGGCCTCTGATGGAGAGTAGCATTTTTCTTCAAGCCAGAAGCTCTGTATAGCACAACTGGGACATTATGCTACATTGGCCACTGAGCCTTAAGGCAAGGCACTTCTAGAGCATATGAGATGAATACCTTACTTTCCAAGATGCAGGTCTTTTTTCCCACATAGGAGGGTAAAAACACAAAAGAACCATCCGTCTCAGCAATGCCATGAAGTTACACAGGGCCTTAGGTCACAGACATATTCAGACACTTGTCCCTACTCCCTATGGCCACCAATTCCACATTTCCTCAGCCTACTTCATCTTCTGTTAGGACTGTCAAAAGGAAGGGAACAAGATGAAGGACAAGCATACAGGAAAATACGTTTCCTCAGGAATTAGGAATGGACAGGAGATTAATCTGAGGGGAGATTCAGGTCAAGGATTCAGTACACCTAATTTATCTGAATCTCTGAAGGAACATAGTCCTTATGACAAAGCCATTTCATGTTATGTTATGTTTCTTTGGTTTGCTTCACATAAAATAATAGCACATAAGCTAATTTTCCCAGTCAGCAATAAAGTTTCAGATTTCTATCCGAGAAGAGATAACCCCAAAAGACAGACTTTGCTCAGTACATGTAATTCCTATTACTCCAAGGAAAGTTTCCTCAGGCATATTTTTAAAAGTCCATTTGCCAGAGCAGTGTCCATGTGCTTTGTAATATTCCACAGATTTGCCTCAGTATGTTCTTGTGTCTTTGAAGTCTGCTCATACTGTGATATGAGAAAGATACAAATGGCAGTAAACAGAGCAAATGTTAGCATTATTGCTTCATAATATTCTTATTCATTCTAATAAACTAAGTTTGGGCAAGAGAGAAGGATTTCAGTGCACGTCCAGGAATTGTAGAATTAAACAGATGGTGTATGTAAGAATATTGTATGTGCTATAAAAGGATTCTGCATTAGGAGTAAGTTCCAAGTTTACATTTTGAAACTGCATTATAGTGTTTATGAATAGCGTTTACTATGGCCATCCATAGTAAAATAACATTCATAAACACTATAATAGTTCATAATAGGAACACTAAAGCCTATTCTATTTTAGACTTTTTTCCAAATATAAGAATAAGTGCTCCTATTTCCTATTTGATGCTTTAACACTAACTCTGGAATTGAAGAAAAGTTCCCAAATAGAAAGATACAATGTAGAATCAAGACATAGTCTTATTGTGACATTGC